ATGATCCATGTGGTATGGCATCAGTGGCTGTCAAAAAAACCGGTCACATGACTGAACGCTCTGTATCAACTAGTATTTTCTCAAACCGTGGTCCTCTAAAGAATTGCAAAGCTATTTTAGGAATACCTTGAAGGGGCCACTAGGTGAAATTTTGTGCCATTGTGATTGTTGTCTCTGGTCACATCTCACATCTCACGAAGGAATCAAATTTAGTTCCTCTATTAATTGTTATAAGGGATTTTAAGCACAGCATATTAAACAGGCATCATCAGAAATATCAAACTTCTGCAAATGCACAGTTCAAGTTGTGTATGTGAAGATGCTCAAGATATTGCTGTACACAGTGCCATGCTTTAAGCCCCTATAGTCATTTCAACATTGTGCATTCTCAGAATCCAACAGCTTGTATATCAAAGATAAAGTTTACAAAAATCATATGTATGTGCACGCAATTCATCTATCTGTAAAGGCATAACCCATTTCTCTTTGTCACAGGAGCAGGGAGCTTGGTCTTACCTTTTCTAAGATTTATTATATCCTTTCCTCATTTGTATATATTATTTTCAAAATAATTGTGTCCTATGGCATATGTTGTTTGTAATTCTTCCAATGATCTTCCTGAGAGACGTAATTTCTTTGCAGCAAATTACGACGAAATTAAAAAACATTTGAACAAATCGCTTTCACCAACACTACAAATTTATCAGAATAGAAACCAAGATGTCAAAACAAATTATGAGGATTTTAGTGACATGGCGTGCCAAATCTTTAAAACCTTCTCGCCAAAATTCAAGATGAGAAAATCTCTAGATAAACCATGGATTAATCTCGAAGATAAACAAGAGCAAAGCACAGAGCCTGGCATAGGTATAAGAAGTATGGTTAGAGAGAGGATTACCTAGTTTTGAGAGATATTGCAAACAGGCTTACTTCTGATTTGCGTAAACGGAGAAAAACATATGAAGAACAAGTGGCACAAGCTGACAGCAAGAAATTCTACTCTTATATCAGGAGACAAACAGCATGTAAAACTGGACCTTCAAACAAAATACTGATTAATAGAAACATGTGTACTGACTCGGATAAAATCGCAGAATGTGTCGCTGATTACGTTGAAGAAGTTTATTCAATTGAACCCTTGAACCAATTACTAGCGGTTGAGATAACATGCACTGAAAGTCTTGAAGATATTTCCTTCACCAATATTGAAACTGCACAGAATTTAGATGGTTTGAAAGCTGATGCTGCTCTAGGCCCTGATAAAATACCACCAATTTGCTAGGCTGCTAGCCCGTGTTGAACTTGATCTTCAAACAATGTCTTGATATGCAAACATTACTACTATCTGGAAAAAGGCTTGTGTCACCCCCGTTAAAAAGGGGGATAAGCAAAAAGTTTAAAAAGGGAGATAAGCAAAATCCGAATAACTGTAGACCTATAAGTCTCACCAGTGTAGTATGCAAGGTAATGGAATCCATAATTGCTGCGAGGATTCGAGATCACACCCGACAGAATAACATAATCCCACTAACATTTTGTCCCAGGACAGTCCACAATCGCTGACTTTTGGATGTTTGGACAAAAGCCGTAGAACTAAACCAGCCTATGGACGTAATATATTTGGATTATGCAAAAGCTTTTGGTAAGGTACCACATAAACGTTTGTTACACAAACTGTATTCATTAATGATACAAGGGAATGTTCTTGCGTGGATATGTGAATTTTTGTCTAACAGAACCTTCCAAGTCAGGATTGGACAACATTTTTCAACATCCAGAGTAGTCTCTAATGGAGTACCTCAAGGTTCTGTCCTGGGACCTCTGCTATTTGTATTATACACCAACAACTTGGGAAATGAGTTATCTTCGACTTGGAATTGCTATGCTGACGATACTAAACTCTTTGCAATCCTTTGATATCTCATGCTGAGTTACAAAAAGATCTTGATGCCGTGGCAAACTGGTCTGAAACTTGCGTGCTTCCTCTGAATACAGATATATGACTGACTCTATACATTGGAAAAAATAACCTAAAACTACCATACTCTATAAATGGACACATCTTGGCAGAGACCTACCAACAAAACAATTTAGGTGTGATCATTACACAAAATCTTAAAAGGGAATGTCAAATTAACAACGTAACTAAGAGAGCAAACACTGCTCTATATTTGATAAGGAAGGCCCTCTCGACCTTGAATTTCCCAGCATTAAAGAAAATTTCTCTTTATTCATAAGACCAATAATTGAATATGCCAGTGTAGTGTGGTCTCCATATCTCGAAAAAGACAAGAAACACCTAGAGAAAATACAGAGAATAGGAACTAGGATTCCGATTTCTGTTAGAAATCTACAATATTACGAGAGATGTGAGAAACTAACATTGCCGACATTAGCAAAAAGAAGAGAAAGAATTGAGATTATAGAAACATACAAAATATTGAACAAGGTGTAGCTACAGATACAGATCCCAGGCTACGAGGACATTCGGCAAAGATGATGAAGGAGAAAAAAAATCTGGACCAAGAACACATTTTATCACTGATCGGGTTGTGAACCGTAATTGTTTTCGCCCCAATCAATTCCGGCTTAGACAGATTTTACTGCATTTCATTTCATATAATTCAACATACTCATTTTGTGACAAAGAAGGAAAAAGTAGAGCTTATGAAATCTTGCATTATGCATGCATAATTTAGATTACTGTTCACTTTTATTTAAGAAATTGTTTATTTTTTCCCAGCTTTACCTAGATGCAGCTGAACAAGATAGAGAGCGGTACATGAGAGAGCTCCATGCTTACAAACAAACTGAAGCTTATAAAGTTTTTACCCAGAAGCAATCCCAGAAGAAGCAACGTGAATCACATGAAAAGGCAGCGGAAAATAATGTTGTGTCTGCTAGTCAGGAGGTTTGTAATTTTAATTAATTTCCCAAAGCAATTACAGTTTTCCCATTTCTTTAAACAGTTCATAATTTTATCTTTCAGTCTTCCTGGACCTTGAATGAATGATATTCATGCAGGTTATGCTTAAACCTTCCCAATCTTGAATTTCATGCTGTTCAGTGCCCCTTAAACATGTCTCTTTTGAATTTAACTGTGATCATTGAGAAATGGTTCTGGTGTACACTAGGAATGACTATTTTTGTAACATTCATCTGGCATGTAATGTTATATTTTTCAATGGAAATGAGAAAAAATAATGATTACAGAACAAAAAATCGTTCTGCAGAAAACTCATCCTGGTTAATGAATGGAAATTGCATGAAGGGTTTGAAGTTTTGCAAATGTGTGCAATTTCCAATGATTCATATAGTATAGTAAAACTTCATTTATACGTTTTTCAGGGGAGTGATGAGGAAAAGTGAAAAAATGCTAAACTAAAAATAAGGAAAATCTAGATGCAAAATAAGAACTCAATATTTTGACAATACTGTTCTGTTAGAAAATAATATGCATGTGATATTCTCAATAAATAACTCTTTCAAGAAAGAAAGTTCTCACTTTCGAAAAAAGTCTGTTATTAGACCATTTGTTTTTCTCTGCACCTGTGTGACAGCTATTCCAGAATTGTCCATATTATTCGATTCCTATGTATTTCATACAAATAGGCTTACTGTGGAATGTTGAGAAATTTCACAAAGCCAGACATGCAAACATTTCACAAAGCCCTACTGGATGACATGCAAACATTTCACAAAGCCATTCTGGATGACACGATTATTTCACAAAATCGTACTGGGTGACATGCAAACATTTCATGAAACTACTGGAAGACACGTGAATATTTTGCAAAGCCATTGGGACACTTGTGGGTATTAACGTCATTATCCTGCACTCTGTAGTTTTGTTTAGTCTCTACAGTTTTGATCAGGTTCCGATGAAAGGTTGACAGGCCTTGCTGACCAGCAAAACTAAACAACCTGAACACTAAACCAAACACAGATGCCTTGGGCTCTAGGATGATGTAATTGCTCTCACTCACTGGTAATTTATATTTGTAGACTGTCAGTTCCTTTAATATGGATGTATAGCATGAAAAATGAATAAATGTGAAATGTATATCTGAAATAATTTAAGAGAGAAGTACAGGAATTAAGCGGGGGCATATAAACAACAATGCATAAATGTGGCAAATGTAAAAGTGCAAAACTTATCAATGGAGTTTTACTATGTTGCAAATGCAGTAGTTGCAGTGGTAGACATGGCAATGGATTTCTTGAAAAGAGGAATTGGAAAATTTTTCGCTTTTCTCTTGCTTTTAACATGTTCTTTTGGGATTTTTGTGGGGTGTTATTTGCTGTAGCAATGTCCAAACACTGGTCAGTGGGGGCAGTGTGAACAAAGTTCATGTATTTATGTAGTACGTGTCTGCGGTTGGCCAGCTGGCTTGCAGCTGCCCACCAGGCTTTTCACTTCCCACTATAACACTAATGCATATTGTCCACTCACCACTGATGATTAACAGAAAGGAAATATTTTGAGTGTATATTTCACTTTATGAAGATATTTGGTTCATAGTTGCAGTATTAGCTAGCATTCTAAAATTAGAGACTGCATATTTCATTCACTTTTGCCCTTAATTCTGTGTGTTTGATTATTTATTAGTGCATGTATGCATGCATAATTTGTGACTTGAAGCACATGAGAAGTCTGTTATTACTTATAAGGAAGTCCTTCAATTTCTATCTATCAGTGGGGTAAACAAATTCGAGAGGGAACAAAATTGATTATATATCGGTGACTACAGCTTTAAAATATTTTCTCTGGCGAATGTTAACCTCTGAATGATTCCCTATTGCATCAGAGGGGTTTTCATGCCACGATCTTGAACATTTGGAAGAAGTCCAGATCGAGTGGCTTGCAAATAAATCATCTTAGAGAACAGGAAAGTTTATAATTTCTTCTGTACACAATTATTTTGAAGTAATTGCTTTAAACCGGTTTTTGCTTTTGTGTGGCTCATCAGTCCAGTGGAAGCAGTATTTTCCAAGATATAATTTATAAAAAAATCTTTTTTGCTTTGGGGCTAATTTTTCAGTTTTTGATAGAATGGATGGCATATGAGAGTTGTTATTATTTTTTTTTTTTTTTTTTTTTTTTTTTTTTTTTTTTTTTTTTTTTTTTTTTTTTTTTCCTTTCCTTCCTTCAAGCTGTAGTTTCTGATGCTCTGGTAATTTCTTTGTAACATAATACTTAACTTGCCTATTGACAATGTTCTTGCATTTCTTCACTGTGTACAGCCTGTCTCTTGCTTGGAAGTAATATCTAAGAGCACATACTTGAAATTTTACCGAAGCTTTAAGATTGACTTTGTGAACATTGCAACTGTCTCGTGTTTAAAAGTGTGTCACACATGGTGTTTAATATTGTTTTTAGTTTCCTTATGAGGCATTAATTGCCCTTGATCACATTTCTTTTTCCATTAAAAAAAGAAGTTAACAGGATGGCCACTTACTTGAAAACCTGGAAATCTGCAAAGAATTGGGGAATTTCATTGCCTTGAAAAAGTCATAGAAAAATCAGAGAATTTATGGAAGTCAGAGAAAATTATGAGAGCGATATAAATCAAGATATTATTCCTTAAAACATTAGTACAGCATTACAACAACAAACATTTTTTGCTCAGTTTTTATTTCATGAAGAAATATTGCTCATTTGCACTTTGTCCCAGCGAAATCAAATACCTGACCAATTAGTATCATGGTAGTTTTAATATTTTATGTAAGTAGTGTGAAATTACGAATCGTATTAGAAAAACTTCAAAATATTCACTGGAAAAGTAGGAAAAGATAAGTAAATTTGTGCAAGAGAAGAGTAGCCACCCTGTTAAACAAGGACATCAGTGGAATCTATTTTTCATACTACACAAAAATTTTGTCAAAAGTTGCTCCAAGCGTTGGGTTTCCTTTTCTATTCATCCAGAAATCCAAGATTGTCTCATTTAATTTGTAAAGACAACAAATTTCCTCCTTTCCAATGTTTTAGTCAATTCATCCATTTGACTTGAGGACTTCCTATTTGGCATTGTAAAATCCATTTTCCAAATCTCATTTCAGTTAGCAGGGTAGTTACCATGAAAAACTTGAAAAATCAGGGAAAATAAGCTAGTTTCATTGCTCCGGAAAGTCCGGGAAAAATCCGGGAATTTGTAGAAGCACCATTAGGGAAAATTTTGAGAAACTTATTATACAGCTTTATTTTATGCTCCGTTTTTAATTGGTTAGAAAATTAATTGTTAATTTGTATTTATCACAGAGAAATCGGAGAGCTGAAGAATTAGTATCAGCATAGTTTTAATATTTTCTTAAAGGAATTACAAATAATATCAAGAAAAAAAAAAAAAAATGCACAAAAGAGCAGCAAAAGTCAGAGATACCTGTTCCAGGAAATCAGTGGCCATCCTGATTTAATAAATGGAGTCTTCCTACAATAGTTCACTTTGAGTATCAGTATCTTCTTGTGATTTATTTTGGCACATGTTCAATTCTGAAGAAGGTGAATTACCTCATCAACACCTGTCTCTAATTTCGATTATCTGAGCTTCATCCTAGTTGAACCAAACATTCAGCATATTGCAATGCCTATTACATCGTTATTTATTTTAACCATCAAAAATCACAAGGTTAAGAAATGAAGATTTGAAAAAAATAATCTCAAATTACTCCCAATCTTTTTCTAGTTCCTTACCAGTTACAGTACTTTCTATTGAAACTGCCTCAATGGCTTCCTAGGTCTTCATACATGCATACCTGCACATGCACACATGCACCTGCACCACCACCAGCTCCGCAGCTGCTGCCATCTCCTACATTGACGTCACTGCTAAGTCCAGCATTGCCACAGCTGCACCATTAGCACTGGCCCCATTGCCACCACTACCACTGCTGCCGCTGCGACCAATACCAACAACTACCTCCAACATCACATCCAAAATCATCACCAATACCACCTGCAACACTGCCGCTAACACCACCACCACCA